CCAGAGTCACTGTTTCCCTCCTTTCCTGAGCCCCCCATGCTCCTGCAGCTAAAAATCTCAGTCTTCCAGGATTTTTCTTGTCTGCATTCCCTCAAGTTACTTGAGTCTAAAACTAGGTCGTCTTTAAAATATTTCCTGTTTGTTTGTTTTGTTTTTATGGTGTTAGAGGTTGAACTCAGGGCCTTGCCCAAGCCTGGCAAGCGCTCTGCCACTGAGCCCTAAGATGTCTCCTGAAACATGCTCCCCTGTCGCCCTGTTGCTTCTGTTCATACCTTCATAATCTTCAGCTGATCTGCCTTTCGTTTACTACCCAAAAAATATCCATTTCCCATACTGCTGCCAGAACACAGTCCTATTGCTCTTGTGCATTAGGCCTTGTCACATAGTTGTACAGGGTGCATTTCCCTAGTGTGGCGTATGAGGCCCTGCAGGTTAGGTTCCTGCTGCCTCAGAGCTGTTTTCCAGCAGCTCTGTTGAGCTATTTGCAGTTCCTTGAGTGTGTCATGTAGTTTCACATCTCTGTCTTACTCTTCCCTCTGACCAGAATATCCATTCTAACCCCACCCCCAGCCTTGGCCCAAAGAGTCCTGTTCTCCCTCTGAGGTCTACCTAATCACCAACTCCTGTGGTCTGGGGTACTTTTCCCAACCTGCCTTCCCTATGAGCTGGGGTCATATCTACCTCTATATCTCATATCTGCCTGGGCTCATATTTCAACTTCTTCATTTATTGGCAGTGTGACATTGGGCAGATGCCTCAGTTTCCTCATTTATAAATGGAGATAATAGTAATTCCTACCTCATTGGTTGTTGATACAAATATTGAAGAAATTCAATCAGCATTAGCTTGTAATCTCATAATCACACTGCATTGTATTTATGTGGTCACGTGTCTTTCAGGCCTTTAAGAGTAGGGAATGAATCTTACTCATCTCTGTAGTCCCAGCATTTAGCATTGAATCTGGCATATAATTCACAGCCAGAAAGCATTTGAGTGGGTGGGTAGGTGGGTGAATGTGTGAATGAGGGGGTTAATGAATGAATCCCAAGTGAAGATTGCACACTCTATTGGCTAGTGGTGTTAAGTGTCTTTTCATGTACTTATTGGCTGTTTGTATATCTTTGGGAGAAATAGCTATTTCAGTCCTTGGCCCATTTTTAAGTTGGCATTTTTGTCTTTTTATTGCTGAGTTGTTAAGAGTCTTTTTATATTCTGGATTCAAGCCCTTTACTAGATAGATGATTTGCAAATATGTTCCCCCATTTGATGGGCTCTTTAATCATGTAGTGTCCTTTGGTAAAGTCTAATTTACTTTTTTTTTTTTTTTTTTTTTTT